AGATGAGTGGCTTTAATTTAGATATAAAAGTAAGCTTTTAAAGTTAACTATAAAGAATAGGAAATATCTAAAGAGTATCCTACACTATATACTATTTATCCTATTCTTCTATCCCCTAGAATCCCAAGGGCTCCCTAGGATTCTTTCCTCTTAGTAGGATACCCTTACTATCTCCTGCTAAGTCTTCGGTCTCCTGGGATCCCCTAGTCTTGGTAGGATCCTAGTCACGTAACTACTAATATAATTCTAATAGGCGTCTAGCGTGTTAAGATATATTAGCCTCTAGCCTAGGGGGTCCTATTATCCTACTGGATGTCTTTGTCTTCCTACTATCATTCTATATAATTATAACATTACCTCCCCCCTTAAGGTTATCGTCCCAATACCTTATAGGAGTCCTATAACCTATTACGGCAGCATTATTAGGGAGTATTAAGGTGGGTGCTTCCCCTGGTATACCTATTATATTATATCCTCCTCTAGTTCCTCCTAGCCTCCCTAACTATGCCTAAGGTACCAAAGCTATTATTAACTAATAAATGTTATTAGCGCGCTAATAAGGTGCGTATATATAGTCTAGAGATGCCTATATATTATAAATACTATAAAGACAAGAATATCCCTAAGTATTTTATAGATACTTTAAGTAGGAAGTGTGCCATATATATTACTATTTATTTAGACTATAGCTTATAGGTTTTAGAGAAGGAGTGGGAGCACGTTTAACTTCTAAAGTGTTAGAAGTAGATTGCTTTACTAATGGCTAAGGTGGAAGCCACTTAGGTAACCACTAAGGCTACTTATCTAAAACTTAAGATTGCTTAAGTAGAAGAAGAGGAGTAGGCTTTTACTATATATAATACTTATATAGCTAATATATTAGAGCGTTTAGAAGAGGAGGCCTTAAAGAGTATAGATGCCAATATTAATCTTATATTATTGCCATACGCACTTTTAGCTAACCTAGGCTAGCTATAGGCTAATTCTTCTTCCCTTACTTTTTTTAATTTTCTTAAGTTCCCACTAAACCCTAAGTCGGGGTTCCTAGAT